GTACGGTCTTTTTTTTTCAATAGTTTTATTCATTTCAAAAGGCCGTATCCGGCCGGCGGGCCATAGTTTGCCCATGGCTGGTTTAAGGGCATGTGAGTATGTGTGTTCCTCTTCTCGACCACTAGGAGAATTGGTTTAGTACAGTGGTCGGCAAACTCATTAGTCAACAGAGCCAAATATCAATAGTACAACGATTGAAATCTCTTTTGAGAGCCAAATTTTTTAAACTTAAACTATATAGGTAGGTACATTGTTATTAACTTCATTAGGGTACTCCTAAGGCTTACGAAGAGCCACACTCAAGGGGCCAAAGAGCCGCAGTTTGCCGACCACTGGTTTAGTATATGAGTTATTTCCAGTTTTCATTATTATAAATAGCACTGCAGTGAACATTCATATTTATACATCTTTGTGTGTGTCTGATGCTTTCTTGGGATAAACTGCTAGAAGTGGGGTTACCACATCAGATGATATCTACATTACCAGTAAGGCATTTAAAAATGTAAAGTAGTTTCAGAAATGCATTCTTTCATTCAACAAGCATCTGTTGAAGATTTATTAGGTGCCAAGTACCGGGCCAGGCATGGGTGATACAACTGTGAACATGACAGACCCACAGCTGTTTCGGGAGGGGTGGGAAAGAGAGGAAAATTATTGGTCAATAAAAACCAGGGTGAGAAGGGCTAGGATGGGCAGAGGACAGGCAGAGAAGGCTAGTGGCCAAGGCCTGGGAGAGTGTCCTGGGTTATGACTGATTCTTCCCGGCTGTTTTCCCAGAGATTATAAACTCTTCTAGGGCAGGGCTAGCCCCAAACTTCCTGGGAGCTCACTAATCCAGCCTCCACCAGCTGGGACCAACAATGATGGGTAACAAAATAGACCTGAGCTGGGTCTGGCCAGATCAGTTGGGGTGATTATTTCTAATCTCTACACCACCTCTTAATAGCTGTGAGACTTTGGAATTTTACTCACCCTCCAAGCTTCTGTTCTCTTGTCTGTGAACTGGGATGAGCCATAGTGTCTGTTCATTGGATCAGCACAAATGGGCACAAAATGAGGTGATGCACATCAAGGGCCTGCCTGGCATCTAAGTGCTCAGTAATGTGGGTAGGGGCTCAGTTTTCCCATCTGTTCAGTGGGAGATTGGCCTAGATCAGAGGCTCTCAACCTTGAGAGTGCATCAGAATCACCGGGAGGGCTTGTTCAAACAATTTCCTGACCTCATCCTAGAGTTTCTGATTCAGCAGGTCTGGGATGGGGCGTGAGGATTTGCATTTCTAACCAGGTCCCGGGTGATGTTGATGCTGCTGGTCTTGGACCACACTTTGAAAACCAGCTTAAATGAATGCAGCCATGGTTTCCTGTTCTGATACCTGACTCTCCGTCCTCCACAGTAACAAAGACTCATTCATGGGCCTTGAGTTCCCAGATGGCAGAGTTTGTATCGGTTCAATCCCCACAGCTCCAGCACGGGTGCTTTGCTATGATGGGTTGAATTGTATCCTTCAAAAGCTGTTGAAGTCCTAACCCCCAGTACTTGGGAATGTGATCTTATTTAGAAACAGGGTTTTTGGAGATGTATTCAAGTTAAGATGAGGTCATCAGGATGAGCCCTGACCCAATGCGATTGGTGTCCTTATAAGAAAAGAAGGACAGACAGAAACATGAGGGGAGAATGCCATGTGACAATGGAGGCAGTGATTGCAGTGCTGCAGCTGTAAGCCAGGGATTACCAGCAAAACACCAGAAGCTGGGAGGCAAGGAAGGAATCTTTCCTTCAGGCTTCTGTGGGAGCATACTGCCCATACCTTGATTTCAGGCTTCTAGCTTTCAGAACTTTGAGACAATAAATTTCTGTATTTTTCAGCCAGCCAGTTTGTTATAGCAGTCCTAGGAGACTAAATACATCGAGGGATTTATTTTTATATTTTACAGATACCACCAATACAGATCTTTTCAAAATCATACATTTAAAAAATATTTTTATTGATTTCAGAGAGGAAGGGAGAGGGGGAGAGAGATAGAGACATCAATGATGAAAGAGAATCACCGATCAGTTGCCTCCTGCACAACCCACACTGGGAATCAAGCCCGCGACCCAGGCATATGCCCTGACCGGGAATCGAACTGTGATCTTCTGGTTCATAGGTTGACACTGAGCCATGCTGGCTGGGCTACATTTTTTTTCATAGGCAGTATGACTCCCCTGACCCCCCAAATTTAGGGATGTTTTCTTTCATGCAGTGCATAGGACTGCACTGAGCATGAGAAGCTAAGCAGTGAACTCTCACCCATCTCCTTTTGACCTTCCTACATTCCCTGGGCATATTTTATTATCCCTTATATTTCATCTGTCCAACTGGAGAAGGAAATGATAGCATAAGCACGTCATGTGCTGGGAGAGCCTCATGCCTTTGTTTCTCATCAGTTGTTTCATGGGTGCTGGGTAGGGGCCAGGGAAATCATGAGAGGGTGTGCCTCAACCTTGACCCCAGAGACAGCACCCGGGGAATTGCATTCATCGTTACTACAGGATTACTGTCAAATTGTGTTCCCACCCCTGCCTACATCCCAGGGTAGGTTGGGCTTGGGGATTTGTGCTCATTTCCACCTTATTTCAGGCAATTATTAACCTGAAGCGGCTGTAGGGACTTAGTGAGAAAGGAATCCTGACCGCACTGCCTGCTGGTCTCCTGGTTTCCAGCGCCCTCTCCTTCCCTCTTCCTTATGGAGCTGCCACCCATCCCCACAGGGCAGCCGCCCTCTTCCTGAAAGTGATTCTTTTCAGAAAGCAAAGGGCTTTAAATTCCTCCTTGCTTGTTTGTTCATGGTCCTCACAACTTGGCCCCTGCTGTCCCTCAAACCTCCTCCGACCACTCCCTACCCTTCACCTAACTCCCCACCCCATCAACTCCTTTAGTGCCTCCAGCCTGCCCT